TCAACTGTTTGCTGCGATAGATTCGAACAACTTGAACCATTTTCTGTTGAAATTTGTGGTGTTATATGACATTCGTTTTTAGGCAAAATAGCTCTTAATTGTTCTATTGCAATTCCTGCCTTCTTATGCGCTTGACGAATTTCCTCATAAGCCGATACAACCTATGTAAAAAAAAATATATATATATATACATACACATAATATATATATGATCATTGGAATTTTCATTTTTAGACCGTTCTAGAGGTTATTCTTAGAACGCACCATCAATGATTTAATAATGATAATTTTCCGTTGACTTGAGTCCATATTTTCTGTTCTAATTATTGGTGCTGGTGGTTGAACGACATTAATTCCTGAAGATTCATGCGGGATTACAACACTTGTATTGGCTGGTAAAACTGTCTTCAATTGATTTGTTGCTATTTCTGCTCTTTTATATGCTTTGCTAATTTCCTCATAAGCAGATATAATCTAACAAAAAAAACATATTCTTAGTAAGGTTTTCCGAAATAAATCATCTCAATTTTTAAACATCAAGTTTAAAAACCGCTGAATTTTTAGCGTTGATCTCCTGCCAGAGGTTTTTACTTATCCCCTTTTGTTTTTCGATAGTATTTTCGACAGTATTTTCTTTCATGAACTCTATCAGGTTCACTCCTTTTTCTGGATTTGTTTCGATTAATAAAGAGACGATTTAATTTATGAAAATTAGTCTCTAAACATCTAAACTCTTAATAATTAAAACATTCGTAACCTGTAATGAATTCGTATTCGTACATATTGATATCAGACATACGTACGTAAGTACATATCGATACCGATATTGATATTTATATATTAACTTTTTCGTGTAACAGACATGATCAAAGCGAAATATTTACTTATTGCGCCAGTGATACAAGCAAAAAAAGGAAATGACTACAAAAAAACGTATGTATGTATGTACTTACGTAAGTGGCTATAGTTAAAAAATCAAGAGTGTTGCAAGGTGAAAACCTGTTATGATCATTACGCATTAAGTACAGTTGCATTCATTTCTTCCCCAGCACTTTTAATTTATATTTCAGGGTCGACTTAGTATCGTTTTTTCTAACTATCTTGGTACCGCCACTTACTATCATGTGATAACTTTGTCATAAAACTACCCGGGTACGTACCGGTACGGTACGTACGGTATAGCAACGGTAACTGGTGGATTCCTGCTTGTTTATACTGTATATACGTATAACTTGTAAATTACTTGTCAATGGAACTGGGTCTCTTATATTCCACCAAATTCGGATAGGTTAAAGCCAGGTGTTTTCTTATTTTTCTTATTTTCTCGGATCTCCCCGATGGGGCAAAAAAGTAACAAAACGCGAAAAATACAAGAAATTAATGTTTAAACCTATCTCGGGATACTAATAAAAAAAAATGCCGGGAAAATAATTTTACATTACTTACCTAATCTTAACCTTAAATTATACAACCACACCGGGATTTAGCATCCTTATTTGGACGGTTCCTCGACAGTTCACGTTCATCCTAAACACTATTTCATGATTTCTTTGATGAATTTTTATTTAATTGGTTATTAATCATGAGTAGATCATCAAATCACGTGAATGTCTTCCCACGATTGTCCATCCGAGAACCCTAACAGAATACGTATTTACGGGTTCTTACAGAATATTTCCTTATTTGAGCATTATAGAAACGTGAGATTTGATAACGATAAGGGATGCATAAGTTGAATATTTAACAAAGTTTCCCAAACATTTTAATAATCGTGCATATGTTCTGCATAAATTTAGGATAGCAGTTTCACCAAGCTTTCTCCATTTGGTATAACATTGACATCCTCTCTTTCATCTGAACGGTTTTAATTTTCTATTCTTGTACTGTACATTGATGATTATTGACCTTGTATTATCTTGAAAATTATTCACATATCATGACTTTTAACAAAAAAAATTTGACTTCAAAAGAATGTACGTATTTCATATCCATTTGATATAATTTATTATAAAACTTTAAAAGACTGATGATTGTCAAAAAAATTAATTTCAATATTATTAGTGATTCATGAATATATTAAAGGAACAAAATGGAGAGATGATAAACTTTTATTTCAACAATTAGATTCAATTGATGCTCATTCAAGTAATTCTAATGTTTCGGTAAAGTTTTATTACTTTTATATCTCATATTTTTTTATACATTTATTTTTCTGTCTCTATACATGTAACTTTACTTACAATTACAGACTCATCACATTCCAAAATATTCATTTCTATCTCCAAACATCGGATCAAATGACTCTGACTTAGTTACATTGCCATTATTTATTTTAGTCATTGCCCTTGGTTTAGGAATTTGGTTTTTTTATGGTGATATATTATACGTTATATACAGAATTTATGTACTAAACGATCTTAGCCCTACTGCCGTCAAAGCAACAGAACAAGTTGTGGATTAAAATAGTTTGATTTCGTTTCAAAAATGTCGATACTTATGTAACGAAGAAAAATTGTTAACTGCCATGTATGTTGTCAGGTAGACTATTGTTATAAATAATATAACATATTAAAAAGGTTTGATCTTGCATTATATGGGAATTTGTCAATTAAAACCGGGTTGTTGTGAGACTCAATACGTTTAAACCTTTTTTACTCCAAATTATAAATCTAGATCTTAAAAATTATATATAATTTATATAATTTATCGCTGTCAATACATGGCTGGATTTTCTCAAATAAATTATATCCGATGCCCGGTATTCGCTAAATATAATCCACAAAAAATGTTGTTCTCACAACGATATGTTTTAATTGACAATGCCCACAGTCTACTAATTACATAAGAATACAGCAAAATATCTCTCTTTAATACGGTAAACTCTTTTTATGACGAACTAAAAATCCTGGAAGAAAAAAAAAGCCTATTTTAGAAAATTACTGTCTTCTTAAGAACCCATGGCGCTTTTTATACCAAACTATTATGAAATTTCAAATTTTGAGTCCATTATAGGAAGGTTCGTTATATCCAGAGTTGACTGTATACAAAGAATTATTATCATTAATTGACTTACGAACATTTGGACACTTCCTTCTATCCGTATACTATTGTTAAAGATAAGTTTTACCTCCCGATGCAATGGGGAAAAAAATTATATATTCACATTTATAAATGTTTAAAGTAATTGGGAGTGTGTCAATTTTTCTTAAAGAACAGAGTCTAAAATAATCAAACTACAGTCATCCTTCTCTATAATCACCCAGTTTGTTTCATACAAGAATAGATGTTTATATAATATATTCAGAGTTGGTCAAATCACTGGTCAACCAAAAATTCACTGGTCAAACTGGTCTGGTCAAATTGGTCGAATGG